ACTTAAATAAATGCAAACCCGAAATGGAAAACTTTTAGTCTGCTAAAGCAGTGTGCATCATAAACAAATGCAATTTTGTTTCATAAAATACAAATAATTTTTTTTATCTTTTGTACTTTATCCTTTGTTGTATGGCAATGTTGCTGATCTTCTGCAGGCACTTTGCATTCACGTCGTGTCTACATGCAATGTAATAATGGACTGGCATTACCCAAGGTGGGTTTCCTGATGGTGACAACAGTGGACCATGCCTGAGTAATGTGTGTTGAATTGGTTACTTCTAGTCTCCATCGGAAGCTTGTGTGACAGGGTGACAACTCAGGGACACAATTGGGAGACAGGGACTATTTGTTGTCACCCTATAACAGGAAGTACCTGAACAAGGACCTTCACGATGTTTTTTAATCAAATCTGCAGATTTTTAAATGTGGAAAAAGATTTTTAAATGACAACAGTAGGTAAGGCTCTAAAAGCTTTAAAATGTGATTAAGCTGTGCATTGGTAGTAACAGGTCCATGGTGCTCCTGAAAAATGTTCTGCTATAGCTATCAATGGAAATATTATTGTTTTCTGATTGGTTATCAGGGGATCCCTGTTATTATGCAAGCCTTCAGTCAAGAATGTTTATTAAAACAGCCGTTATCAACCAGGGTCCCTAAAAAAGTTGCTAGTTCCTTGACCTGTGTCTGCTGGACCTCCCATCTGATGGTGCCTGGATAGTCCTGGGTCCTACACCACTTGGTAAAGCAAGCAGCATGACAACAGTGATCTGTATGACTGTCTGGTAGTGTGGCCTTCTGACTAGGAGTGTAAGGAATTATTCCCGCTGACCCCCAATGTAATGAACATTCTTCCCACTGACCACCAATGTAAGGGACATTCTTCCCACTGACCACCAATGTAAGGGACATTCTTCCCACTGATCACCAATGTAAGGGGCATTCTTCCCACTGACCACCAATGTAAGGAGCATTTCTTCTCACTGACCACCAATGTAAGGAGCATTCTTCCCACTGTCCACCAATGTAAGGGACATTCTTCCCACTGATCACCAATGTAAGGGACATTCTTCTCACTGACCACCAATGTAAGGAGCATTCTTCCCACTGATCACCAATGTAAGGAGCATTCTTCTCACTGACCACCAATGTAAGGAGCATTCTTCTCACTGACCACCAATGTAAGGAGCATTCTTCCCACTGACACCAATGTAAGGAGCATTCTTCTCACTGACCACCAATGTAAGGAGCATTCTTCCCACTGATCACCAATGTAAGGAGCATTCTTCTCACTGACCACCAATGTAAGGAGCATTCTTCCCACTGATCCACCAATGTAAGGAGCATTCTTCCACTGACCACCAATGTAAGGGGGCATTCTTCCCACTGACCACCGATGTGTAAGGAGCATTCTTCCCACTGACCACCAATGTAAGGAGCATTCTTCCCACTGACCACCAATGTAAGGAGCATTCTTCCCACTGATCACCAATGTAAGGGGCATTCTTCCCACTGATCACCAATGTAAGGAGCATTCTTCCCACTGACCTCCAATGTAAGGAGCATTCTTCCCACTGACCACCAATGTAAGGAGCATTCTTCCCACTGACCACAATGTAAGGAACATTCTTCCCACTGACCACCAATGTAAGGAGCATTCTTCCCACTGTTCACCAATGTAAGGGACATTCTTCCCACTGATCACCAATGTAAGGGACATTCTTCCCACTGATCCTCCAATGTAAGGGACATTCTTCCCACTGACCTCCAATGTAAGGGACATTCTTCCCACTGACCTCCAATGTAAGGGACATTCTTCCCACTGACCACCAATGTAAGGGGCATCTTCCCACTGACCACCAATGTAAGGGACATTCTTCCCACTGATCACCAATGTAAGGAACATTCTTCCCACTGACCCCAATGTAAGGAGCATTCTTCCCACTGATCACCAATGTAAGGAGCAATCTTCACACTGACTTCACCAATGTAAGGAGCATTCTTCCCCTGACCACCAATGTAAGGAGCATTCTTCCCACTGATCACCAATGTATGGGCATTCTTCCCATGATCACCAATGTAAGGAGCATTCTTCCCACTGACCACCAATGTAAGGGGCATTCTTCCCACTGACCCCCAATGTAAGGGACATTCTTCCCACTGATCACCAATGTAAGGGACATTCTTCCCACTGATCACCAATGTAAGGAGCATTCTTCCCACTGATCCCAATGTAAGGAGCATTCTTCCCACTGACCACCAATGTAAGGACATTCTTCCCACTGATCACCAATGTAAGGGACATTCTTCCCACTGACCCCCAATGTAAGGGACATTCTTCCCACTGATCACCAATGTAAGGGACATTCTTCCCACTGATCACCAATGTAAGGAGCATTCTTCCCACTGACCACCAATGTAAGGGACATTCTTCCCACTGATCACCAATGTAAGGAACATTCTTCCACTGACCACCAATGTAAGGGGCATTCTTCCCACTGACACACCAATGTAAGGGGCATTCTTCTCACTGATCACCAATGTAAGGAGCATTCTTCCCACTGATCACCAATGTAAGGAGACATTCTTCCCACTGATCACCAATGTAAGGACATTCTTCCCACTGATCACTGATCTCCAATGTAAGGACATTCTTCCCACTGATCACCAATGTAAGGAGCATTCTTTTTTGAAGTTTTTTTTTTCACAGCAGATGACCTCTGGCTGGGTACTTTTTTTTAGCATATGGTGGGTTATACATGCCCAGATTGTTAGGCTCTCTTTAACTGGGGCTATATAAAATTAGATCTTAATAGCTTCCACAGATACAGATCCAAAACCTTGGTAAGCACAACAGATCTTTACATTTGAAATTAAAAAAAAATCATACATATATATTTTTTTTTTAATTAATATATATATTTTTTTTATTATTATTATAAACAGTATATATATATTATATATATATATATATATATATATATATATTATATATATATACAGTATATATATAATTAATATGTAGTATAAATATTTATATATAAATAAATATATGTATGTATATATAATTATCCAGAGCTTATCAATAATTTTCTCATTTATAACTCAGTTAAGTAAATGCAGACTCTATTTGTCCCAAGGTCAAATTAAATAGCTAAATATATCCTCAGTCTTCATTTGCAATTAACGCATGCTAATTCTATATGTTAATTACCCAAGGTATTTAGAGCCTCTGAAGTTTTGCTGGGAGGAAGTGCATTTATGCTAAATATTTGAATGCTGGGTGTTAAAGTGAACAAGTACTGAAATGTGAATGGTCTTGTTATGGCTACGTGAAAGGTTGGTACGCTTACATTTTTTTTTCATCCCTGGGGAAAATGCTGCTCCAGGCTTCCTTCAGTACTTGCCACCTGTTTAAAAGCCTACCTTCTTAGTCACATGATGTCTGCTCGTGTGTGATTGGCGCAGAGATCATGCGATCTTTCCCTTAAAGCAAAGATCATGCTACAATAGGGTTGCTACGTCATCCCTTTAACCCCCGGTTCACATCCCTGCGGATGTGCGGGCCGCGTTTTTTTTGCGCGGGCACAAGAGCCCATTCATTTGAATGGACTTCAGTGCCCGTGACACGCAGGGAAGAAGTCCCTGCTACTTCTTTGGAAAACGCAGCCGAGGTTCCCAGTACGGTTGCGTTTTCCAGTGCGGGTGGCGTGCCATTACAACTAATAGCACCCGCCTGCAGGTCCGCATTTCTCTGTGCGGGTGGTGCAGCTGCACGGATTTTGGTGGTGCACCACCCGCACCAAAATCACAGATGTGATCCGGGGGTTAAACTCAACACATATGAATGACACGGGTTCTGAGGATGATTTAATGCAGATAAGGCACTAAGTGAGTGTAATTACCACCTTAATCAGACACAGAATCTGTTTAATTAATATGTGTTTGGTTTTAAAGGTGGCAATTAGGGGCGGAATGAAATTTGGGAACTTGGGCTCTGCCCAAGGGCCCGGGGTCAGAAGGGGGCCCCATGAGATGCCCCTGGTACCTTTCATAGGCTTTTTTGGGTGTGGTTTGAGTGTGGGCGAGGACACAGGGGCCCCATAATCCCCTATTGCCCGGGAGCCCCATGAATTGTCAGTCTGCCCCTGGTGGCAACCCTATGCTAGAAGGACCTAGACCTTTGCACATGTTGTCAGCGCTGAAGAGAGCCCTGAAGCTGCATTTTCCTCAGGAAAGAGAACTATTTAGCATTTCTATTAATATCCGCAGTAAGTATCCGTCTCATGCTTTTTACATAGATTTAACTTTTGGTTAAAGGTCGGTTTGAAGTCAAATCTAGCTTGTCATTGCTGAAACTCTTTCCTCGTCTGAAAAATTGTTTTTCATAAGCCAGTGACATTAAGATGACATTAAAGAAGACCTTTCTGTAGCTCTACAATGTGGGAACACAGCGAAGAAATGCACAGGACCCAGGATTTACGTGATGGTGTCCTCTGTGAGCCGGCATCTCAGTCCAGGTAGTAGATGGTGACCCTGGATGATGCCTGAATAAAGATGGTGCCGTCCTTCTGGAGAGAAAAGCAGAGGAACTGCTGTGATATTTAGTGAGAGGTCATAAATACCTGGAAACTTTACACTGTTACATTACTCAGCATTCTGTACTTACCAGGGAAAATATATCTAATGGTAGGTCCACTGTAAGGGAAACTGGTATATAAGGACCCCACACACTGCCATATTGACTAAATGAGGGATTGATGAGGGCCCTGTCAGTGCTGCCTCTCCTGAATAAACAAACATTCCTGCATTCTCAATTTGGTTGCATTGTTTTTTTAGGCATTTATTTTCATTTGTATTCGGAATGCCTCTTTTCTCAATTTTATTCAGCTGCTGCAGATTGACAGTATAGGCAGAGATCTGGGGAATCTATATTTTTTTCACCTGTACTAAAACTAAGACAAGTTAAAGTGTTACTAAACCCCGGACCCGCAGTTACTATATCCGGTCTCCCCAGACCCCGCATTCACTATATCCGCTCTCCCCGGACCCTGCATTCACTATATCCGCTCTCCCGGACCCTGCATTCACTATAATCCGCTCTCCCCGGACCCTGCATTCACTATATCCGCTCTCCCCGGACCCTGCATTCACTATGTCCGCTCTCCTCGGACCCTGCATTCACTATGTCCGCTCTCCTCGGACCCTGCATTCACTATGTCCGCTCTCCTCGGACCCTGCATTCACTATGTCCGCTCTCCTCGGGCCCTGCATTCACTATGTCCGCTCTCCTCGGGCCCTGCATTCAATATATCCGGTCTCCCCAGTCTCTGCATTCACTATATCCGGTCTCCCCGGACCCTGCATTCACTATATCCGGTCTCCCCGGACCCTGCATTCACTATATCCGGTCTCCCCGGACCCTGCATTCACTATATATGGTCTCCCCATGAACCCTGCATTCACTATATCCGGTCTCCCCATGAACCCTGCATTCACTATATCCGGTCTCCCGGACCCTGCATTCACTATATCCGCTCTCCCCGGACCCTGCATTCACTATATCCGGTCTCCCCGGACCCTGCATTCACTATATCCGCTCTCCCCCGGACCCTGCATTCACTATATCCGCTCTCCCCGGACCCTGCATTCACTATATCCGCTTTCCCCGGACCCTGCATTCACTATATCTGGTCTCCCCGGACCCTGCATTCACTATATCTGGTCTCCCCGGACCCTGCATTCACTATATCTGGTCTCCCCGGACCCTGCATTCACTATATCCGCTCTCCCCGGACCCCGCATGCACTATATATCCGCTCTCCCCGAACCCCGCATGCACTATATCCGGTCTCCCCGGACCCTGCATTCACTATATCCGCTCTCCCCGGACCCCGCATGCACTATATATCCGGTCTCCCCGGACCCTGCATTCACTATATCCACTCTCCCCGGACCCCGCATTCACTATATCCGCTCTCCCCGGACCCCGCATTCACTATATCCGCTCTCCCCGGACCCTGCATGCACTATATCCGGTCTCCCCGGACCCGCATTCACTATATTTGCGCTCTCCCCGGACCCGCATTCACTATATCCGCTCTCCCCGACCCCGCATTCACTATATCCGCTCTCCGGACCCGCAACCCGCGCATTCACTATATCCGCTCTCCCCGGACCCCGCATTCACTATATCCGCTCTCCCCGGACCCCGCATTCACTATATCCGCTCTCCCCGGACTCCGCATTCACTATATCCGCTCTCCCCGGACCCCGCATTCACTATATCCGCTCTCCCCGGACCCCGCCACTATATCCGCTCTCCCCGGACCCCGCATTCACTATATCCGCTCTCCCCGGACCCTGCATTCGCTATATCTGGTCTCCCCGGACCCTGCATTCGCTATATCCGGTCTCCCCGGACCCTGCATTCACTATATGGCTCTCCCCGAACCCTGCATGCACTATACACTATATCCGGTCTCCCCGGACCCCGCATTCACTATATCCGCTCTCCCCGGACCCTGCATTCACTATATATATCCGCTCTCCCCGGACCCTGCATTCACTATATCCGCTCTCCCCGGACCCTGCATTCACTATATCTGCTCTCCCTGGACCCTGCATTCACTATATCCGCTCTCCCCGGACCCTGCATTCACTATATCCCGCTCTCCCCGGACCCTGCATTCACTATATCCGCTCTCCCCGGACCCTGCATTCACTATATCCGCTCTCCCAGGACCCTGCATTCACTATATCTGGTCTCCCACAGTACACAGAACATGGAAATGCAATTATTGTTATAAATATAAACTGCTAAATACCTTTTCTCATCAGCAGTATATAGCAGAATTGTGACTTCTATCGGTGTCCAGCCCAGCACTAGCTAAAGCTTGTAGGAGGAGTTTTCATTCTGCTCTGGGAGGATGCAGGAACCCCTGTCCTCTGTCTGGACAGTGTTGATTGGCCCTGTGCTGATCACATGCAGTCTCCCAAGAAAAAAAAAAACCTCTCTAGCAATACACACCAAACTCAACATGCGCAAATGCCTAAGGTTCAGTCTGTCTTATCAGTAGATAAGCTGTGAACATATGAATAGGAGGAGGGGCAGTGAAGACAGGATCAAACAGCCTTTTTACACAATGCAGAGGATTAACCCCTTAGGTTCCACAGTGAGTATAACAAGCATGCTTTGCTGCATCTACAGACTGATGTCACTGTTGGGGGTTTAGTAACACAAAATATAGTTTTTAGAAGACTCTGTAAGTTGGATTTGTTTGGCTAATAATAATGTTCGTCGATTTAGCGGTAAAACATTTTGAATCGTTTTCTGAATCCTTCAACTTTTGGAAATGACTTCTCCCTCGGCGTGAAGCCGTATTAGATGAAGTACCCAGCCTTGCAAATGGGGCTTTTTTTTTTTTTTTTTTTTGGAACGGCCAATTAAAGAGCTGCTGAAGCAAATGAATTGTTAAGAAGCGCTTTGTCTAATCAGCTCGGATCTCACCTGTGAGGAAATGGAAGGCGCAGACTGCCTGGGATCGCCTGGACTCATCCGAGCTCCATCTGCAATCTACAGCTCATTATAGAGAAGTGCTGTACTGTATATCTGTACTGCATCCAAGGTCATTTCATTTCTAGGTGGAGCCCCTGGGGTCCTGTCATGGGTTGGCTTCTCCTTTCTTTTGGGGACTTAAAGCTGAAGTTTAATCTGCCTACGATTTGCCTTCCCTGGTTCCTCCCTCCCTTTCATCAACATGCTACAGACATTTTATTAAATACAATTTTTACATTTTCTTTCTTTATTTCAGACCCATCACTGGGTATCTGTGCTTTTCTATGCAATCCAGGCAGATCATGGCTGGTGGGAGGGGCTGACAAGGGACTGTACATAGCTTCCTGAAACCATCACAGCACCCTGCCTCAGTACTCCTCTCTGGAGTCCTCTGCCCTGATGCAAGCAGTAGGAAGATTTATGCTACATGCTGCGACGTCGCCACGTTCCCAGATGTGCCCCCCCCCGAAGTGTGTCCTAGCTGCTCGAGTATGTGTAACACACAGTGCAATTTTATTCTTCACATTTGTAAGTGCATTTATTTTTGCATCTTCCGAAGCACGGACGATGTAATTTCTGACGAAACGTGTCGGGTGGAGCTACATGCTGTGACGTCATCACATTCCCGGATGTGTCCCCCCCCGAAGTGTGTCCTAGCTGTTCGAGTATGTGTAACACACAGCGCTATTTTATTCTTCACATTTGTAAGTGCATTTATTTGTACGTCTTCCGGAGCACGGAAGATGTCACTTCTGACGAAACGCGTAGTGAGGACCCAGCCTTGCAAATGGGGCTTTTTTTTTATTTTTTATTTGGAACGGCCAATTAAAGAGCTGCTGAAGCAAATGAATTGTTAAGAAGCGCTTTGTCTAATCAGCTCGGATCTCACCTGTGAGGAAATGGAAGGCGCAGACTGCCTGGGATCGCCTGGACTCATCCGAGCTCCATCTGCATACCTAGACATCATCGCGTTCTCGGAAGTGTCCCTGGAAGCAGTGGGAGGATTTATGCAAATATCAGAATGCCTTGATGGGTTGATATCAATATGGAGGAGTGGGCAATTCTAGACAAGCTATAAAATAAACACAATAATAAATCCAAATAGTGATTCCAGAAGTCCGCACTTATGAATATTTAAGAAAATTATACTCTTGTCAAAAACAGTATATATTGTGAGTCTCATGTCAAGTAGATCTCCACCACCATACAGCTACAGCAAAAGGCTTACCGGAAATATAGGACTCTCACATTATAGAGAAGTCATATAATGATGTTTTCAAGGGCATGGAAGATTTCCTTTCTGACGAAACATGTCGGGTGGAGCTACATGTTGTGACGTCATCACGTTCCCAGATGTGCCCCCCCCCCCCCCGAAGTGTGTCCTAGCTGCTCGAGTATGTGTAACACACAGTGCTATTTTATTCTTCACATTTGTAAGTGCATTTTTTTTTTATGACTTCTGGGGCACGGAAGATGTCACTTCTGACGAAATGCGTGCTGAGGAGCTGCATACCTAGACATCATCGCGTTCTCGGAAGTGTGTCTGAAAGCAGTGGGAGGATATATGCAAATATCAGAATGCCTTGATGGGTGGATATCAATATGGAGGAGTGGGCAATTCTAGACAAGCTATAAAATAAACACAATAATAAATCCAAATAGTGATTCCAGAAGTCCGCACTTATGAATATTTAAAAAATGATACTTTTGTCAAAAAAAGTATATATTGTGAGTCTCACGTCAAATAGATCTCCACCACCATACAGCTACAGCAAAAGGCTTACCGGAAATATAGGACTCTCAGAATATAGAGAAAGTCATATAATGATGTTTTCCAGGGCATGGAAGATTTCATTTCTGACGAAACATGTCGGGTGGAGCTACATGCTATCATCATGTTCCCGGATGTGACCCCCCCGAAGTGTGTCCTAGCTGCTCAAGTATGTGTAACAAACAGTGCAATTTTATTCTTCACATTTGTAAGTGCATTTATTTTTACGTCTTCCGGAGCACGGAAGATGTCATTTCTGACGAAACGTGTGGGGCAGAGCTGCATGCCTAGACATCATCACATTCTCGGAAGTGTCCCCATAAATGCATTCTAGCAAACATGGTTTCCTTTAGATATTCTAGACAGGATGTATTTGCATACGCAATGCCCACTTGTGATACTGAGCCACCATGATTGAAAGAACTGAAATCCAACAAATGAAAGGGGCGGGCCAGGGACAGTCAGGCTGGGGAGGAAAGAACAAGATGGTGGTGGACGTCCTCCAACCAGGAAATGAGGCGGAGCTCTATCTGACTTGCTGCAGCTTCTAATGCACATTGTGAGAAGCTCACAGTGTGCAGTGAAATCAAAGGAAGCCATTTCAGTCCAGGAGAGGAGCCAGTACACCTGTGTAAGACTGGAGGGGAGGAGCCGGTAAACCTGTGTAAGACGGGAGGGGAGGAGCCGGCACACCTGTGCAAGACTGGAGGGGAGGAGCCGGCACACCTGTGCAAGACTGGAGGGGAGGAGCCGGCACACCTGTGCAAGACTGGAGGGGAGGAGCCGGCACACCTGTGCAAGACTAGAGGGGAGGAGCCGGCACACCTGTGTAAGACTGAGGGGAGGAGCCGGTACACCTGTGTAAGACTGGAGGGGAGGAGTCGGTACACCTGTGTAAGACTGGAGGGGAGGAGCTGGTACACTTGTGTAAAACTGGAGGGGAGGAACCTGTACACTTGTATAAAACTTGAGGGGAGGAGCCAGTACACCTGTGCAAGACTTGAGGGGAGGAGCCAATACACTTGTGTAAGACTGGAGGGGAGGAGTCGGTACACCTGTGCAAGACTGGAGGGGAGGAGCAGGTACACCTGTGCAAGACTTGAGGGGAGGAGCCAATACACCTGTGTACGACTGGAGGGGAGGAGCCGGTACGCCTGTGTAAGACGGAAGGGGAGGAGCTGGTACACCTGTGTAAGACTGAAGGGGAGGAGCCGGTACGCCTGTGGTAGACTTGAGGGGTGGAGTCGGTAGACCTGTGTAAGACTGAAGGGGAGGAGCCGGTACGCCTGTAGTAGACTGGAGGAGTGGAGCCGGTACACCTGTGTAAGACTGAAGGGGAGGAGCCGGTACGCCTGTGGTAGACTGGAGGGGTGGAGCCGGTACACCTGTGTAAGACTGGAGGGGAGGAGCCGGTACACCTGTGTAAGACTGAAGGGGAGGAGCCGGTACGCCTGTGGTAGACTGGAGGGGTGGAGCCGGTACACCTGTGTAAGACTGGAGGGGAGGAGCCGGTACGCCTGTGGTAGACTTGAGGGGAGGAGCCGGTACACCTGTGTAAGACTGAAGGGAAG